AGTATTGTTGAGCCAAGTGTTCCCCATCTTGTAACGGAGCATTCAGTTTCTTTTTCCTAGGTACAGAACTTGGCATTTGTCCCAACTGAATTTCATTCTGTTGATACATCCCAGCACTCTAACCTTTCAAAGTCACCTTGAATCTTCCTTCTGTCTTCCAGGAAAGGATAGCATGCTGGCAGAGTAGACCGAAAAACATACATTCACCTCCATTATTAACCCATTAAGTGGCCTCTTAATGTCAATCTCATTCTTATCCCCTCATTTGTAATATGGGGATAATATGTATTTATTAGATTTGTATCCTGCCTTTTTTTTTCTTTTAAAGAACTCAACATGGCTTACAACATTCTCCTCCTGCTGTTCTCAGTCTTATCCCCACAATAACCCTGCTGAAGAGGCCTACAAGAAAATAGTTATATTTCACAGTGTGGCTTTTAGCTTATATCCTTTAAAGATTTTTTTTCTTAAAAGGGAAACGCTTACTAGAAAGGTCAACTTGCTAAAAACAGTTAAATGCATGATCAATCCATGATCCACTTCTGAAAGAACGTAACAGGAAAGCAGATATAACTGCAAGATAAGAAAAACTATTAGGTAGAGCAGGAAAATCTATTGGAAGAGCAAAATGTTAGCTTGCCAAAATTCAGGAAGATGTTCGTTGTCTGTGATGTTGTAACTCCCATGATACTATAAAAAGTGTGACATAAGGTGTGTTTGGGGCTTCTCCAGCTTTGAAGTGATACACTAGGAAGTCATTCAGTACTGTGCAAATTATTAATCTCTTCACACCCCCGTTGTGTACTTACTGGGCATTTGCACACCAGGCCACAAATTTAAGAGTCCCATGTGGGCAACAACCCTGTGAAGTTGAGCTGAGAGTCTGTAACTGGCCCAAAGTCACTCAATTGGCTCCATGGATGAGCAGGGACTAGAATCCAGATCACCTAAGTCCAGTCCCACGCCCTTAACCACTATACCACACTGACTCTTAATAATGCTAAGAACTTAAGATCAGAATGAAGGTATATGATACAACATCCTGTGCACACAGTGGCCAAGCAGCTACCTGGGCGAAACCCCTACAAGGTTGTAAAAACAACAGCATCACCTGGATGTGCAGTACCACTGATACGGCAGGTAGCATATAGCCATCAGGACTAGTTGTCATTTATAGCACATAGTAGGCATGTCATGAGTTGAGCTGAGCTGAGCTGAGCTGGCTGGAGCTGGGGGTCAGACTAGATGGCCTGGGAGACCCCTTCTGACTCACTGATTCTGTTTTTATAGACTTATCCTCCAATGATTTTATCCAATCCCCTTTTAAAGCCGTCTAAACTGGTGGCTATCACTACATGTTGTAGCAATGAATTCTGTTGTGTGAGCTGCATGAAGTCTTGACTCTCCCACCCAGCAGCTTCAGGGATGTCCCCTTGTTCTAGTATTAGGAGAAAACATGCCTCCCTAACCAGCTCACTGCCCCGTGCCTAATTATGGACACTCGATCATGCCTCTGAAGGAAGCAACTCAGTGACTGGGAAACAGAGAGGCAAACAACCAAACCATGAAGCCTGTCTGAAGGTAGGCAGAGGGGAGAAAAGAATAACTGGCTTGAAAGTGTGCTACTTCCTATCTCACCCTCCCAGTAGTTTTATGAGATAGGGAGTTGTAGGGCAAGGTGAAGTTAGAGTGGAGTGAACTAGTGAACATGTAGTTATAAGCATGCAGGCATAATAGGTTGATGAATAGTAACTCACACACCCTGAAGAGACAATGGGCTAATTATGATGTACACGTGATGTATGCAGATGTATGTAATGGGATGAGATGGGAGATATGTAGTAGGCAAAGACTGTAACCTCCTAGTACCTTATCCAATGAGGCTGTGGAAGATGGATTAACAGGAGCTGCTTTGTGTGTTTGTACTTTGGAGAGAGTCTGATAGAGAGGGCTCTCCCCGTCTACTGCTATAAATGAAGGAATCGCCTCACTCTGTTGGTAGTCTTGGTTATTTAACTTGAGGGCAAGTATTTTTGCAGCTTTTTGCACAACACCTCCAATCACAGATTACAGCAACTGAAGGCCTTGGGCTAGGAGACCTTGGGAGGTCCAAACTTAATATGTTATGAATGAAATTCCAAGCAGTGACGATTCGGGAGGCAAAGTAACAAGCACTAATAGTTTAATATGTTCTTTCAAGAGTGGGCGCTCACCACACAGGTAGCGTGCCTTTTTCACAAGACATTGCCTTTTATTCCCTTTTCCCAGCTCACAAACCCTGCCTCTTTTCTCCCACTGGCTGGGTTACTAAGAGTTCACAATCTTCTCCATCCGCCTACATCATGCTACTCCCTGATATGTTCCCCCTCCTGCTCATACATCCCATGTTCATGCTAATGAGCCTATTACCTATGAGAGGTGTGTCAGTTGTTATTCATAAGCCTATTAAGCATGTGCACTAACTTCTAAGAGTTCAATAGGTCCTCTTGGCCTTGTAACCTTCTTGCTTGATGACCACTTATTTCCCAAATCTTGTAGGGGGATGAGATAGGAGAACAGCCCTTCCTCTGAGCTCATTACGACCAGTTGTAAGAGACAATCAATTTCCTACTCCCTTCTGCAAAAGGTGACGGTTTTACCATTGCCCCCAAACTCACCTCTCTTGTGTTCTTCAGGACTTTGATGTAAGAAGCACTCTTCTACCATTTCTCTTGTGTCCAAACTTAGCCATACCATATACTATTAGCCCACCTTTGTTTACTGCAGTAACCAAATAAATATTATAAATATTTATAAATTATAAATATTCTGAATAAATAAATAACCAATTTAAACCTGCCTATGTTGTTCTACTTCCTATTTACAACTCTTTACATGGTTCTGTACTGAGGCCCTTGGTCAAAGTAATTTTCCTTCTCTCACAAATAGCATCTGATCATAAGAAACAAAAGCTCATTCTCTTCTTTATCTACTCAATGAAAGTAGAACATTGCTGAAATGTTTAGCATTAGAACTGTTTGTATATTTATAACCTTTAATAAGTTTACAAAACTGTGGAATTAATGAATGTGTTATAACATAGCTATGATTTCTGTTAGGCTCGACCCACCTGGTACTAAGTTAGCATAACAGGAGGCTTATCAGCTGTGTACTAAAGTTAGCATACCAGGATGTTATCAGCTGCCCCAGGCATATACAGGGTGTTCTTTTAGAAAATGGGCAAGGCTTATCAAAGGTGTAAAACTTAAAAGGATAAGCTAACTGCAAACTGGCTTAGGCTGCAGGTAACAACTTTCCATTTGCTTGTAACAAGGTACAAAACCCCCGCTGTTCCTCTACTGGGGGCCGCACTCCTACCAGAGTGTTGGTCCCTGCGCAGGTAATAAACTTCTCCTGAAAATACCTAGTGGTCTCTGGTCTCATCTGTAAAAAAGTGGGACACAACAATTTCCCTATGAATGTTCAGCATGATCATTACACTATATATAAAGTCAGAACAGTTTATTCCAAGCCTTTTTGGATACAACCTTATTATAACATTAAAATCAGTAAGTCACAGTTTATAAATTTCTATGCAAAGAATCATTAGCTTAGACAACCAATCTTGGGCCACTGTTGACTGCAGATCATTCTTTATTCCTTTTAGTCTAGAAAATGATATTTTGCCTAGATAGGCCCGATTTTTTCATTACAAATGAAATGAAATTTAATCGTAATTTCAAAAAATTGGCAGGGCCCCCTAGAGTATGAGCCCTTGGGCTGCGGCCACTGGCACTGCATGCCTCCTATCCTTTTTTTTTTTTTAAGCCGAAAAACGCGGGATGCTGTGACCTTTCCTCATAGGAGCGCTGCTTCACCCCCTCCATCATACCGCTTCTTCTTTTCTGCACCTTTTCCAACCGCACAACATCCTTTCTGAAGTGTGGGGATCAGAACTGTCCGCTCTATTCCCAGCGTAGTCTGCACTAACGTACCCTAGAACAGGATTACTGCGTTGATCGCCATGCACCCGGTGCATGTATAAAACGAGTCTTAGTATGGCAAACCTCCTGACTAAGAAAACTGAGCCCGGAGGCCGGACCGCAGGGCATGAATTCAACGGAGAACGTTGCGCGAGCCAACATCTCCCAGCCAGCCTTCCGCCCTCCTCCCGTGCGCCCAGCTCCTCTCGGAAATAGGGCGAGGAGAAGCGTGGCCCTTGCAAGGCGTGGCCCGAAGACGGCGGTGCTTGCTGCAGGCCCTGCCGCGCCGCGGCCGTTCTCCAGTGCCGGCTTCCACGGCAGAAACGGCGCTCTCGCGCTCTGCTGCAATGGGCGCCGGGCGCCGCTCGAGCCCGTCCTGCTGCCCGCACCCGCAGGAGTGCTCACGAGCCCGCAGCTTTCTCTGCAGAAACAGCTCGTGCACGCTGGCAGCCCCGCCGTTCACTTTCCTTCAACAGACTTAAGCTGCAAAGCCTACACCCACACTTACCGGAACTCAGTGGAACTTACTTCCGAGCAGGCGTTAACGTCTATAGTTTTGCATCGTGACACCTCTCCTCCGCCTTGTTGGCCCTTCTTGCAAGGAGCCCCAGCAGCCCGTAAGCCTCCTCTTACTTGCCATTGTCGCCTCACAACAGTCTTGTGAGGTAGGGGCAGGCTGAGGAGCAGTGACTTGTCCAAAGGCACCCAGGGACGCTCCGCATCAGCTGGGACGCTCCACACGCCACGTTTGCATATGCTGGTACCGTTAGGCACAGCTTCAAGGGACCCTGAACCCTTTGCAAGGAGAATCACACGCTCCCCGCAGCTTGCTTGTTTTATGGTCCGGTTTCCCCGGTGCAGCGGCTGACTTTCTTGAGCCACCTCCCGCACCTAGCCTAGGCCTTCCTTTCCCGCCCTAACGGCGTTGCAAAGGCAGAGAAGCCCTTCTTTTGTCACCTGTTTCCTGTTTGCATTCTCAATTCAAACAGCCCGGAGTGTTGAAAAGACGAAGGTGGAGGAAAAAGGAGGGCACGCGGAACAAAAGAGACAATACTGCATAAGTTTCCTGTCGTCTTTTGTCTCGGGGGGTGGAGGCTCCTCTAAGCTTTCCTCGGTCGGCTCGGGGTGGAGGAGTGTTGCAAGAGCAACATGCTTCAGCCGCGCTTGATTTATTGCCTTATATTCCAGGGCGCCCCCTTCGCAACATTTCTGGAGCCAGCTCGTGCCTTGCACTAGCTCTCGTTTCAAAGCACGGAGCAAAGCGGGAGCCGTTGCGCGCAAGGTAAGGGTCGCTGGTGCCCGCTCTGCAGCAGCTGTAAGAGCGCATAATTTCTCGATGGGCAAAAAGACTCAGACCTCTTTTTAAAGGCACCTCGACTAACACTGGAACCTTGCAGATATGGGATCCTGAGATGGGGCTTGTCCGTAGCATTAGGGCGGTTTAAGGCGGAGGTTACGTTCCTGTTGAGTCAGGAGGAGAGCTCAGGCGCCAAGTCTCTGTGATCTTGCTAAACATCCTTCTAGTCAGCCTGCGCTCGCCGTAATTGGCGGACGAGCTTCTCGCGATTGAAATAAAATTAATAAGAATGGTGGTTATTTTAAAATGTCATAGCTTTTCCACCCTGCGGTTCTGATCATTTAAGCTATGCATACTCTTTATTTGTTTTAATTTTAGATTACTTCCCTGGGCACAGGGAGAAAGTTACAGCTGCGTCTGCACGAAATAAAAAACACTCAGGCATAGATCGAAATGGGCTAGTTTTGTACGTGGATTAGAGCGCTTTCGGGTGGGATGCTTCGTGTTTGCTGATGTAGCGACTTCGCTGGTGATGCAGGGACGCCAAAGCTGGGGCCGCTCCCGTGCACCAACAGGGAGCCAGTTTGCCGTGACCTCCGTGTGGGGTGCGAGCGCTGTGCGTAGAACCAGTGCATTGGCTAGCTTGAAAATAGGCTTTTGAATCAGCCCCTTGGGCAACGGGAAGAGGAATGTGCAGAACGGCTTAGAATTGGCAACCGGTTCGGCTAACTTTAATTTTAAAATTTTATTTATTTCATTTTTGCACCCTTCTCTTCAGCTGCTCGGAGGTTCCCCCCCCCCATTGCCCGCCCCCCATCTTCTCTTTATCCTTTGCCTTATGCCAAGAGAGATGCATCTCTGCTTATGTCTTTCTAGAGTGTTAAGGCTTGTGCTTTAAGGCTTATGACTTCAGTGCTGAGGGTTCTCTTAAGAGATGTAGAGCGCCCGTTTCACTGAAGCATTTTAATGCTGAACATTTCCTCTCTCAGGCATTATATTCAGTTGAAAAAGCAAAATGGGTCACACTGTGTGTTGCTTCCTTACTTTGCCAAATATTATCAGCACAAAGTTGAGTGGACACATGGATATCCTTGCAAGATAACAACGTGCAGTTGCCAGTGCCAATTGGTTAGGAGGTGTTTCTTCCTTGCGTGTTTTATAAGGCATGCCTCAGTGCTACACGGTAGTTGGTTTGAATTTAATGATAATTAGTGTGTAATCTAAAATAAATTACAGTTCCATGCCAGCTGGAGATTGCTTGGAGAGTGAGACCTTTTTCCTGCTTAAATAAGCATTGGTTTGTGCCCTAACTTAGCCATCTTGGGTGGGTTTTACTTCCCTTTCACCCCCTTCCACTTAAATTCCATTGCTTTACTAATAAGTAATAGCTTACATTACATCTATTGAAAGTTATTAAATGTCACTGAAAATCAGTTTGTTCTTTTGTCTGAACTCAGCCAAGATAACAACCCATAGACTATTGAGCACAACCAACCCATACATAGAGGACATGGTTTGCAGTTGAGTTGTGAACTGTGCAGCTCATTATGTTGAATTGGATCTATTGCCAAGTAATATGTAATACGATTGCATGTTAAAAGTTAGGTATGGAGAGTATGGGCAGCTTTCAAATGACACATTCATAGAATACAGGTAGACCCTGGGTTATGAACCTCTGGTTACAAACAACCCATCTTATGAACAAGCAAACCTGGAAGTCTCCCTTGTCCTCAAGTGGCAAGCAGCTGCCGTCAAGCGCAGGACAGCAAGCAGTAGGCAGTGAGGAGAGGGAGGAAGGGAAGGCAAGAGGGAAAGGGAAGGAGGGAAAAGCAGTGCCGGCCAACAGCAAAGTCAGAACTAGAAAGTGACTTCATTGGTAATTCCTCCCCTCCAGCAGCACGATCAAACCCTGACTCTCCTGCACCAGGTCTGCTCCAATACCAGTCCCATTTCCACCACCATCCAGTTAATGTAATCTCAAGAAGTATTAATCTTTAATAATCTTTTTACTTTATATATCTAAACTGTTTTAAGAACTGTACTATATATGTACACACATACATACAGATTCCCTCTGTGTTCACTACCTGTAGTTACTTTACTGTATTATCATTATTAAAATGCTGTATTATTTAAGATTTTTTTAGCATATATGTGTGAGAGAAGGAAAATTACTGTTACTAGGCAGAAGAATGATGGATTACTAAAGACCAGCGCAAAAGACCCTTATAAGGCCAAAGGCCAGAGTACAGAACTGTGTAAAGATTTGTAAATAGGAAGTAGAAGAACATAGGCAGGTTTAAATTGGTTACTGATGTAAACAAACAAAGGTGAGCTAATAGTATGGTTGAGTTGAAAACAAAGACAATAGTAGAAGAGTGCTTCTTACATCAAAGTCCTGAAAAACACAAGAGGGGTGAGGTTGAGGGCATTGGTAAAACCTTTTGCAGAAGATAGTAGGTAATTGATTGCCTTTTACAACCATAATGAGCCTGGAGGAAGGATTGTTCTTCCTATCTCATCCTCCCAAAAGTTTTAGGAGATAAGTGGTTACACTTTAGGAGCAAGACTGTTACAAGGTCAAGAGGACCTATTGAACTCCTAGAAAGCAGTGCTCCTAGGAAGTTGTGCATAGGCTTAATAGGTTCATGAATAATAACTGACGCACCTCATAGGTAATGGGCTTATTAGCATGAACATGAGATGTATGAGTGGGAGGGAGAACATATCGAGGAGTAGTATGATGTAGGCAGACTGAGAAGATTGCAACCTCTTAGTAACCCAGCCAATGGGAGAAAAGAGGCAGGGTCTGTGATTCGGGGAAAAGGGAATAAAAGGCAATGTCTGTTGTCAAAGTGGCGCGCTACCTGTGTGGTGGGCGCCCGCTCTTGCAAGAACGTATTAAACTATTACTACTTGTTACTTTGCCTCCCATATCATCACTGCTTGGGATTAAATTTTTTTCCTAACATATGGAAGTGTTTCTTAAGTGCTTTATATGCTTTTATATACATGATCTGACTTAACATACAAATCTGACTTAATGTTTCCTTGAATGGAACTTGTCTGTAACCCAGGAACTCCCTGTAGTAGACTTAGAAGGGTCCAAGAAGGCCATTGGGTCCAACCCCCTTTGGTGCAGGATGCCAAGTCACACCATCCCACTCAGATGACTGGCTTAGTTTCCAGACCCTGCTTCACCTTTGTTGCTCCCCTCTGAACCCTTTCTAGTTTTTCTGTTTCTTCCAAAAATTTAGGTGGCCAGAACTGAACACAGTTCACTTTAAGAGAGGTCTGACTAGTGCTGAGTAAAGGGGGGATAAAAAGTCTCTTGTTCTGGAAGTAATACTTTTATTTATGCATCCCAAAATAGTGTTTGTCCTTTTTGCAGCTGCATTGTGTCCCTGGCTCATATTTAGCTTGTTGTCTACAACAACACTGTAGGGTTTTTTTTTTCTTTTTCAGTGCTGTTGAGCCATGTATTCCCCACCTTGTATTTGGTTTTTTTTTTTCTTCTAGGTAGAGAATTTGGCATTTGTCCCCACTGAATTTCACTCTGTTGCTTTTTGCCATGTGTTCTAGCTTGTCTATGTCACCCTGGATCTTCTTTTTGTCACCCAGGGTGTTATCTATTCCAACCAGTTTTTGTGTCATCTGAAATTTAATTATTGTTCCCTGGACTTCCTCATCTTGATCATTAATAAATATGTAGAAGAGCACTGGTCCCAGGACTGAGTCCTGTGTCACCCCACTTGTTACCTTTCTCCAGCTTGAGAAGGTGCCATTGATGAGCACTCTTTGTGACTGATTTTGTAGCCAGTTGTAGATCCACCTAATAGTACTTTTGTTAAGCCCACTTTTCGCTAGTCGTTAGTTTGTCAGGATTTCATGGAATGCTTTGCTAAAGTCTAGATAAACTATGTCCATGGCATTTCCGCTGTCCTTTTGGGAGGTTACCCAGTCAAAAAATAAGATCAGGTTAATTTGGCATGACTTACTCTTTAGAATCCATGTTGGCTTCTGTTTATCACTTCATTTTCTTTGAGGTGCTTGCAGACTGATTTTTAAATAATTTCTTCCAGTATTTTCCCAAGGACTGATGTTAGACTGACTGGTCTACAGTTCAGTTCCCCAGTTTGGTTCCCCCTGTCTTTCTTGTAGATGGGGTCAATATCAGCTCTCCTCTTGTTGTTGGATACTTCCCCTGTTTACAAGATTTCTCAAAGATAATAGATAGTGGTTCTGAGAGTTCTTCAGCCAGTTCCTTTATGGAGTTCATCATATCCTTGAGATTTGAACACATTAAGTTCTTCAAGGTTCTTCTTGACCATTTGTTGATCTTAGGCTGTCATCCTACCCTTTCATCTTGTATTTTCTCCTCTGTAGGTAGGTCATAATTTTTTTAATGCATAATGCACCTCCATCTCCCTTTTTGTCCCTTCTGTTTTTCTTGAAGAGGTTGCTGTGGTTATTGCTATGGGGTTGCAGTTGCTTTCATGTACTGGGAGCTCAAGTTCATGTTGTCTTGGAGGGGCCATGTTTGGCTGAAGATTCCTCCCAGCAAATATCAGGGAAACTGAGCTCCTGCCCCGTGCTTCTTTGCAACCATCATTCTTCCTTGCTACACTGACAATTTGTTTTTCAAAGATAACATCACCCTCTTTGATTGGGTGGGCGGTAAATAAATAATGAATAGACACCAACAACTAATGGGTTGTAATCTGGTTTTCTTCCTGCATTTTTTCAGATACTGTTGTTAGTCCCTGTCTGCGGTTTTTTCTCTGCTGTGGTACATAACTCATTGCCAGTTGACATTGTAACCTGATGCATATCTCCCTCCCCTGTGCTTAGTTTAAAGCTCTCCTAATTAACGTCTTCATGTTGTGGCCAAGGACATGCTATCTGTACTTACAGTTCATTATCTGCCGGTAGTCCTTCCGCCAAAAAGTTTGGCTTGTGGTCCCAGAAACCAAAATTCATGCTCTGGCACCACTGTCATAACCATGTATTCATTTGAGTGTTTTTCCTCTTCCCTGAATTGGTGGGATTGGGAAGAAAACTATCTGGGCTCCAGTGTTCTTTATTTCTCCCCTAGAGCTTTGAAGTCTGATGTTATTTCCTCAGTATTCCTCTTGACTGTGTCATTTGTTCCCACATGGATGAGAAGGAAGGAGTTCTCATCAATGAGTTGTATGAGTTGCATACAAGTGTTGGTTGTATCATTGAATTTTTGTCTCCAAGGAGACAACACACCTGGCATTTCCCCAGGTTGACTCAACAGACGTATTTTTCCATCCCTTGCAGTAATGAGTCTCCCTTAACTAGCATTTTATTGTAGCAAGCTTGGGTAGCATTTCTTATATTTGGTTTATTACTGCTGCAAGCTTGGGTCATGTTTCTCCTATTTGGTGTCCTCCAGTCTAGGGAGAGTCACTCATGTTTGGTTGTTCCTCAGTCTCTTTTTCAGGGTTTCTCAATATGTTTAGCAGTTCCTCCATAGCCAGCTGTTCTTGTATCTCTTCCTTGAGTATCTGGAAATGGTTCGAAATTTTCACCACTTCCTCGGTTGTAGCATGTCTTCTAGTCCCTCTGCTGCTGACTGCCACTTTTTTCCTGGGTGTCCTCATGTCTTTTTCTTCTCCCATAGAGTTCTCATCCTTCGATTGATGTTGCCCCTTTAGAATTTCATTGGGTTTTTTGGCCAGTTCAAGGGTGATCAGTCATAGCTCAGTTGTTCTCAGCTTTTCCTCTAGGAGGGTAAGTTGCTTCCATTTGTTGTATTTGTAGAGTGCCTTGAACAAACATCTTGCAGTCATTACAGCACACCCATTTTTTCTGGGTGGTTGCTTTTGCGGCAGTTTTTGTGGCAGCGTTCCCTAGCGCTTCCTCCAGATGACAGCAGAAGCTCATGCTGGCTGCACATGAGGCTCCAAGATACGATTCTTGGGCCCAGTGGGAGAAACAGTAGCAGCATCGGCCATCTTTACTGTGGTCTTTGCCTGCATTGCAACGTGGGGCTGCTGTTGTTGTAGCTCCAGTGACAGGCATTTACCCAAGAGAGCAAGTTCACGGGGCGTAGGGGAAATAGAGTGACTGCAAAGTGAAGGCAGCTCAGTGGGTCGTTCTTCTCTTCCCTCCTTAGGGACCCCCCAGTGGCTCCAGTGTCCACAGGCAGCCACCTGGATGAGGGAGCACAAAGGCCAGGGTCAGTGGGCAAGCTGCACTCACTTGGCTCTTCCTTTTCCATTTTCTCTGGAGCAGTGATGGTGGCAGGGGCCATGTTGTGTTTGGCAGACTCACTGTGATGTGGGGAGTTTGCTTTTCTCCCCCTCATTGTGGGGCTCTGAAGGGGGTCACCAGATTGTCAACTGGTCTCCTGGTTTGTGGGGAACCATCAAGTTGAGGGGCGAGTGGCAGCTGCCTTTTTTCGCCCCTTTTCTCCTCTGTTTTATTGGAGCTCCAGCCTTGATTGACCTTTTGGCAGCCATTTTATTGCCTTGATGGCTTAAAGATGGATTAGTCAAGGTTGACAACTTTCTTATAATATTTGCCTTGTCTTTGAATCACCAAGGTTAAGCCAATCTGGATGTAAGAGTTTAGTTCTGATGTTTTCTCTGTTTCCAGATTACTCTAGATATTCTGTGCAAGTTTTCATTAGTCCTACACAGAAGGTGGGAATCAATGCCAATATAAACTACATCCATTTCCTGCTCTGGCCATAAGGATGTGGACAGAATCTATGGATAATTGCAACCAGTCACTTGATCCTTGTCCTGACTGCTGCACTTGGGTCTGTGAAATAACACATGCTTCTCCAGGGAAGGGCACATAGCTATGGTACTGGCATCAGTTGCCTCATGTCCCTTGTACTCTTATAATCTTAGGCAGACTCTCCACATGCCTGCCTATAGCAGGGATACCGTTTGTTTAAAAAAATTGCTGACTTTGGTTGTGCACCTTTGGGCACATACAGCACATCTTTCTCTTGTAAAAGGAAATAGTCTCTGCTCTGTCTGGCCATGCTCTAGATCATGGGTCCTCAAACTATGGCCCGTGGACCAGATCCGGCCCACCATGCCCATTTGGACCCGCCGCGCGGGCGCCCACACACGTGCCTGCTGCTGCCCACCTTGCCCCGTGCGCGGGGAGGCAGCGGTTTGCTCACCCAGAGAAAACGATCTCCAAGTGAGCAAGCCGCTGCCTCGTGCGCCAGCGCGTGCCTGCCCCTGCCTCCCCTTGCCGCGTGCACCCGCCCGCGCCTCGCCTCCCCTTGCCTCGTTGAGCGCCCTGCCCTCACCTCGGTGTGCCGCCTGCACGTGCTGCCCCCACGCCGGCCCACGCACACCGCCAGCACCACTGTCCCGGCCCGCCCAGCACCCGCAGCTTTCAACTGGCCCCCTGGAGGAAAAGTTTGAGGACTCTTGCTCTAGATTCTGGCATCAGCCAAGTTTGCATTATCTCTGGGGAAAAGACGCCACCCTGTCCCATGCATGCCAGTCACATGCCATGCTTAGAAAGTCCTGGAATATTGATTAAGTGGAATATAAACCCAAAAATAAATAAATAAATTTGCCTGATAACCCTCCCAGCATGCAGGTCGCTGTGTCATCTGAACTCAGCAAGGTGTGTAGTGGAGGTGGCTTCCAAACCAGCCCAGAACTCTACAGCCTGTTGTAGTGTTGTGGGTGGGCTTGGAAGCAGCCCCCTCCCACTGTGCATCTTGCTGGGTTTTGATTAGATAGCAACCCACATACTGCCAGGGTTTTTAGACATATTGTGAGGTATTTGCTTGTGTTGAGGAAAAGACCAACTAGAAGGTTGAAGAAAGGGTTAAAAGGAGTCTTTTAGTCTGAACAGAGGAAACCCTAAAGAAAATTCAGGTCACTGTAACCAATAGATAAGAAGGAGATTGTGAAGGTTCTTGGATAACCAGGATATGGGTGTCAAGAAAATGTAAATTTCCATTGTGTTCCAAAGCAACAAGGTATGTTTCTTGTGTAAGAATGTTTTGTTATCCTAAATAAGCTATTGTTTAAAAATGTGCCCAAAAGGTATAAAAGGTGTTAGATTGCAATTGTTCTTTGTTATTACCTCTCAGTAGCATTAACCTCTTGCATGCAAGATAATAAAGCTTCCTGTTGGTATTTTTGTGTGGCAAGTAGTTCTAAGGAGCTCCAGCTCCTCCCAGGCCTGGTTGTGAGTCCCACAACAACCCCATAAATGCTCCACTGGCTGAACTGTCTCAGGACAAGATAACAAACAGCTGCTCAGCTGAGGAGTGAGGGAAGAGGCTCAGCTGCACCCTCGACCGTCTGGCCAATGTACACAAGGGTGGCTGCAAAGCTGAAAGCATGCTGGAAAAATGGTAGTTACTCTGCCCTTTTTCTTTCCCATAGGACTTGAATTATGAACCGAGGTTTTCCTCAGCACTGGGGAGGTTTCCCTGGAAGAGGACGTGGACATTGGTTTCACCCAGATGTAAGTTGCTGCAGCTGCAGTTTTAGTCTCCTGTGCTCCTCCCCTTTTTACTTAAAGAAGTGTGGTATATACATCCTGTGAAAGGAACAGAAATTCTGTAACTAGAAGCCACAGCAGCAATAGCTTTCTCCCTTGGAAAGTGAAGCTTTGCTAGTAGATAGCATTACATTTCTAAAAAAAAATTCATTGTAACATAATGAATGAATATAATACTGGTCAAATTGAGCAGTTTGAAAGTTAAGATTTTTTTCTAGACAGTGATAACTACAAAATGCCTATCTGTAATGCATAACATGCAAATATTTAATACGCTCTTTGAGAGTACTGAAGTGAATGGGTCTGATCAAGATTTTAGCATGTGCAACTGGTCTGTCAGAAGTGTGTGACCCTTCCAGCCCCTGAAAATGATACAAAAAGAATCAAGCCGTCCTCCTGAATGGGGACAGTTCGGGTGGCTCACAGAATCAGTCTATGGTGCAGAGGAAGGTGGAGTTCACCCCAGGCAGGCTGGAGGCACTTTCTGTGAGCATTGACATAGTTACTGGATACATTGCAGATTGAAGTATGCTTTATTTTTTCAAACAATCCTGAGAAAGAACAGGGATGACCAGCTTGCAGACCTGTGATCACCAGATAAGTGCCTGCAGATCAGAAATACCCAGTTTTAGCATACAAGTTGACCCTTTCGGGGATGATCAAGCTCTGTAATGAAATTGGCAGGTTTATGAAAGAATGTAAAAGCTCTTCTGGATCCGATGATGCAGAATTGCTTCCTATTTTTCAAGCAGAAGTCACAGCAACAAAACAATTCAGTGTGAGTGCCTGCCTGCCTCCCACACCTGGACCTGTCAGCAGTGCATGTACATGACATGCTCAGGTGTCATATCTGATGGGCTGATACTGGGAGGGCAAATTTCCACCTTCCCTTTGTGGTACACCACATAAGTCTAGCAATCAGCTTATTTTGAATTCTTGTATTTGACATTTTGGCTCACAGGAAAAGGGAAGGGTTCTGTCAGTGTAGTTACCACCTTATGGGAAGTAGAAAATTACTGTGACTAACAGACTAGAACAGTTAAGGCTATAAATCACTTAGTGGTTAATAATGAAACTAGTGCTGACACAAACAAAGAGACCGCAAGTTGCAATCAGTAGACGTGGCATTAAACTTTCGAACTTAGAATCCAAAGTAAGGCTGCATTAGCTAATGCATATGAATAGTACCTCCTAGTATGACTCAGAGGGTTAGTAACATGAACATGGAACGCTTGAACAAGATGTGGGGAACCTATTAAGGAGTACTATGAAGTAGGCGGACTCAGAAAATGTGAATTCTGAGTACCCCAGCCAATGGGAAAAAGGAGGCAGAGACTTTGCGTGGGAAACAGGGAATAAAAGACTGTGTAAACCGCTCTTCCGGTGCACTACCTTCGGGGTGAGTGTCCGGTCTGGCCAGAATGTATTAAACTGTTGCTGCTTAGTACGTCTCTTAGGGGAAACTTCATTCCCCACAACCTGACTCTGTAACAATATCTCTGCATCAGCTCACAGAGATGGGCTTGGAGATGACGCTGAAAGACTCCCAAGGCTATTTCCTTGGACCACTCCAACCCTCATGCTATTGAATTGGCTCAATGTCCATAGCTCAGGCTTTCTTGGCCTTCTAACAATCAGAGGCCTCTTGCAAATTGTGTCTGACCCAACACATTAAGTGGGGCATACAGTGCCTTGCAAATGTATGCAACCACTTCAGATTTTTCTGATAACATTGTTTATGTTACCACCTCTTATTGAAACTGATTTAACTGGCATTGTCACCACTTGATGCATATGCGATGCGATACTCACCACTGTTAAGGTGCAATATTTTTTATTGTTGCACAAATGTTAAGTAAGCAAAAATAAACTGGCACTTGTTGGTTACATAAGGATTCCCCCCCTTCACTGTGACCTTCCTAAATAAACTCCGGCACAACCAGAGAAGAAGCCTGAAGTAGTCACATGGTATACGTAGTTGAATGGGTTTCACCTGTGTACAGTTCTAATGGCACATGATCTCAGATTAAATATTCTTGTTTCTGGAAGGCTCCAGAGTTCGTTAGAGAGTGCATCTAAACAAACAGCACCATGAAGATCCAGTAGTTCTCAGAACAATCCTGGCAAAAATTAGTGCAGGGTTGCGGTGTTTGGGAAATATTCCAAACTATGAACATCCCTGGAGCACTGTTAAATTCAGCGTTACAAAATGAAAAATATATGGCTCAACCACAACTCTGCCTACAGAAGGTCATTCATTAGAGCTTAGTGACTGTGATAAGAAAATCAGCAAGTAAGCAAAATTATGCAAGAGGATTTCAGAATACTTAAGTGAGAGAAAACAGGGCACAATGCACCATGACAATTAACTTTTACAAGCAAAACAGGATGCTTGCTAAAGAATGCCTGCTGGAGAGAAAAAGCCCTGGGCAAGTGATAGCTTGTTTATTTTGCATTATAAAAGAAGGACCCTCTGTCTGGAATGAGCCACTGTGCGCCTTTATTCTGCAGAATAAACCTTTAAACTCCTTATGTCCCTGCTGTGTATTAATTGAGTTATAGGGTAGAAACAGGACCACTTTCAGGAGAACTGGGTCAGGAGGACATTAGTCAGAGAAGTAATCAAGAGGGCAATGGTAACTCTGAAGGAGCCAGCAAGGAAATATAAATAAATAAACAAACAAATAAAAGGCCAAACCTGAAATTTTTGACTTCTCTGAGAAATCTGTATGTGGCACAAAGCCTAATGGTGCCCAATTAGGTTCTCAGCCTAATTGGCCTGAGAACACCCTCCTCATAGTGAAGTCTGGTGGTGGCAACATCATGTGCAGGTGCTTCTCCTCAGCAGGAAATTGGTCAGAACTGAGGAATGAGGGATGGATGATGCCCAATACAGGACAATTCTAGAAGAAAACCTGTTTCAATCTGCAAGGGACCTGAGACTGGTGGAGACTCACCTTCTAGCAGGATGATGACTGTCAGCACATTGTCAAAGTAACACTGGAATGACTTAAAAGAAAGAGCTGATTGTCTTAGAACTATTTGGTCCAAGTTCATGTTTCAGTCCAACTGAGAATCTATATCAGGACTCAAAAGTTGGGGGTTCATCGTGGTTTCCACCCAGCCATAAAAAGCTGGAAGAGTTTTGCCAGAATGAGCAAGACATACCGCATGTTGATTATTTTATCCCAATACAGCACAAGTACTTTACAAGAGAGATTTTAGGGGGAAATTGACACCTGCTGGACAGTAACCTCTCATCTCAGAGGTTTCTGAGTATCTTATGCTCTTCTTTGTGGTCTCTGTGCATCACACATAATGGGTGCTGTGCCTGGGCAGTGCCTGTAGCCCTGTAGCCCCGTAGAATACAAAAGCTTTAACGAACGGCTTGAGGCAAAGCGATTCGGAGGTGGAAAGAAGACTGGGGAAAAGGGCGGGCGCTCCGCCCTTTATAGCACCGTGGGAGGGTGCAGAGCTTCTGCCAAAATCAGTTAAAGCTTTTGTATTCTACCCGGCTACAGGCACTGCACAGACGCAGCACCCCTTATGTGTGAATGCACAGCTGACCACTCGAAGAACGACAGTTACAGGTAAGCAACCTGCCTTTTTGCTGCACCACGGCCAATAGGGCAGGAGGAACAAGGAGGTGGGTTTTCCTTCTCGGTCCTCCTCTTAAACCTTTCTTCTGCAAGATGGGATTATGAGCCTGTCTTGCAGAGGTGTGGTGTCGGGCCAGGAGAACCCAGAGGACTTTGCATGGTCCTGGGACTCTCCTCTCCTCTTCCCACTCACCAGAATGCTTCCTCCAAGGCCATTTTGTAACTTTGGAAAGAAGTCACTGTATTTTTTTTTTCCTGCAGCAGCGACAAAGGGGCAAGGGATAATCTGCTTCCCATTGTGTTTTAGCACTGTCGGTAAATAATCACCTGAAAAACATTAATTACAACTTGGAAACTTCCAAGCTTGCCTAACGCTATATTTGCATTTAACATCCATTTAGAGTTACAAACAAATTAAGGAACTTATTTTTCCCATGGAAAAAGGAAACAATGGAAAATACTGCATTACTGTTCTGTGTCTATGATGATTGTTAAAAAGGAAGTATTTCTCCTCAACCATTACATTTTTGCGGTGCTGGTCAGTGCAGCTGTTCTCAGTTCTCTTACAACTGAAGAGTGGCCTGCAGTGACCAGCATATCAGATACAATTAATCTGCATCTGCCCTGACTTGGAAACAGCATGTATAGCAGAGTTCAATTAATGTAGCTGTGCGTCCATCTAGTCAGGTTGCAGTGGATACCTTTCAGCTTGTTCAGCTTGAAGACAGGTTACTTTGAGATCTGTCTTTTGAACCATGCTTTTCCTGTTTACAGATGTTAGATTAAGCCTGATTTATAAGGCTTCACAGACAGAAGGTAAGCTTCCTATTGCTGTATTGTGAGACCCCCCCCCCATCCTGCTTATGGCTGAGCAGGCTCTGAGCTCATGTACTTCAACTCCCAGTATTCTTAGATGAAACTAATTTTATTTAGACCTATCCCACTCTTGTTCCCAGACTTGCTTACCTCTTTTTCATTTTCTGATCTTAAGGAGAAAGTGAGTCAAGTGTGGTTTCTAATTTTTTGTTTTGTTTTGTTTTGTTTTGACCCACCAAGTCAGTAAACAAATCACATTGCAGTTGTTGTAATGGGGCCTGTATAGATGAAACTCACTTAGCTGAGGCTAACGTCAAAGAAAAGCAACTTTATTTGCATATGTGGAGGTTGCAAACTTGTACCAGTACATAGTTAAGGTCCACAAACTCCTAAAAAAGAGGATATTGTGGAACAATGTATGGATGCGCTTGGTATGGACTCCATGAATGTGCTTGGTATGGGCTCTAACAATGACTGACAACTGGTATAAGGCCCAAAGCTGACTTGACTACAGGCTGAACCCACTCATCTTAAGTTCTCCTGGAAATG